CAGGTAAAGTAGGTTTCCTTCTCCACTCCTCGCATTTCTTTACTCGGCGTCCATCACGATTTCCACAACAATAGGTCGAAGAGGAGGGTGCTGCGAAAACAAAAGAACCGTCTGTAAGCAAAAGCACTGTTGTTTGCAGATTGGATGGTTTGACACAATGTGTCATCACCACCACCACCATCATCGTCGTTGTCTTGTCAAAGGCGGATTGCCATCCACACAACCAAGTCAGTCTGTGCGAGGCTAGAGTATATCAGCTCCACCGACTGTATCACCGTCCTGTAAGTGGCACGAAGGAGGGGAAAGACGTGGACACCAACATTTGGATAAGTTTTGCAAATGCCAGCAAATCCACCACCGGTTCACGGTGGACGTGGAATCAGAAAGCAAAGCGATTGTGCCAATGAGTTGCACAGTCAACTCTGCCACTTAAGAGGTTGCATGAAGAGGGTGCAGATCTTCCACCTTTTCACCAATGTGCATTTGACTCGATAAATTTGCATGTCTTGAGTGTAGATGCGGAGGGTAGAGGCCAATCGCCTGGCCTGCGAGGAACTTCCAGTCCCAAACTCGAATTCCTCTCAACAAAATTTGCTTGTCGCTTGACCAAATGCGCTACATGGACGTGTTCATCGGCGAAACCGCTCGGCTCACAGACAACTTCTACAAGGCCTCGCCGGTGGAGGGTAGGGAAAAGGCAGGTAGGAGAGTGCATGTGGTAAGGAAATCACATCTCTGCAAAACATTGAGCTGAGTAATCGCCTCCTCGACTCTTTGATCTCCCTCTATCCTCACTTCCGCCTCCAGCTAATGCGTTACCACCCTCTCAGCGTCCATCTGCCTCACTTCCTCCATTATTTCGTTCTCCAATTCTACGTACCTTTGTCTCCGCCTCGCACAACTCGGTGGGTGCAGCCCATGCACGTAGCCGCCATTCCACATGTTAATTATGCCTCCTCCAACTCTCAAAGCACACAAACCACAGAGCTTGTTAATGCCAAACTCGAGATCAAAATGTTCGTCTGCGCTTAACTCGCCTTGTGACGCCGCCCTCGTGCCCTCTGCCTCATCCCTCATCATGCGATGCATCTCACAATGTGGACAATCTGACTGCTCCTCGTACATGTCACTGGAAATTTCCTCGTAGGTGGACTCCTCTCCAGCCTCCTCCCTCATGAGTGGACAAGTCACCACTTCTATCCGTTGGTCGTCGGCAGGCGATGCCACTGGAGGAGGCGATCCCACACAACACCTACACATCCCACTGCAGTTCTCCCTCCATGTTCTTCTCTTCCAAATCCATACTTTATTGAGAACCAACTTTGCTCTCCTTCGTACACGCATCCAAACCACTTTCACCGCCATCACTCAAATAATGTCTGATTTGGAGCATGTTGAAGCATTGATTTTGGATTTATTGACTGTGCACTTGAATTGTTGTTTAATTGGCTAATTGATTGGTGGATTGGGTGGATGTCAATGCGATGCATGAATCACATCATCACCACCGTCCCCAAGTGCCGCTGAATGAAGGACGCTGTGTGGATATTTTTAACCCTCCCTTTGCCCCATTTCCTTTCCATGGACTTCGTGATAAGTCGTT